GGATGAACAGGATTTTAATGCATATATTATGTTTTGTAACGATGGATGTCGTCAATAATCGCATTGATACTTCTGATTAATTCTATGTGTGATTATTCTTTTGTATATATATATATATATATATATATACTTGTTGCAAAATAAAACCATCACATTTGCCTAGATAAAGTCCGTCAGATGACGAAAAGCGTCGTCTAAAAATAAGTATAGTTTTCTTCTTGTCTTTTTAATTAATATATATATATATATATATATATATATATATATATATATATATATATATATATATATATATATGGTGGGGAGATGTCCGACTGCTCGTATCTCGTGTCTACTAGACCGGCTACCAAATCACTGTTGCAGGCACTTGCTCAGAAACATTTCCTGTTTGTTCAACACCCACAGTGACCACCTCCGGTTTATGCTGTAACTATGCTGAGCAGACCTTAGTTACTGTTTCTGGAGGAAAAGCGCATTATTTGGTGTGATCAACAGTCTGGGCAAGGCGACTGTGCTCAAACCCTCGTTCATGATGACTCGTAGCTTTTTGCTTCAGGCTCTTTCCGAAAATAGGTGTATATCAATTACGGTCAGTCTACTTCTTGTCACGTATTTGCATTCACACTATTGGCTGCAGTGATTGGTAGGAAATTTTACTTGATATATTATTGAAAGCTTTTCTTCCGCTGCATTGTTCAGATCCTGGTGAGTGCTTCAATACGGAGCCCTTGAGTTGGTCGACCTGATAAGTCACTTGCACTTTTCTGGATTTGTAGAATAGTATTAGCTCTAGTTATCTAGTGACCGCTTTTTGGCAGATGTTCTGCTAACATGAAAATACGCAAAATATTTCGTCACTTTCACATTTCGGTGGTATTGTAACTGAGTGAAAGAAAGTTTTTCTTTTCGGGTGGATTGAACATCGGAGAATGGAAATTTCCTATCACAACAGGGCTGATTGAAAGAACCTGTTATGTATTTACACATATATACAAAGATATACACGCACGAGCACGCGCACACACACGCATGTGTATATATATATATATATATATATATATATATATATATATATATATATATATATATATATATATATATATATATAGAGAGAGAGACAGACAGACAGACAGACAGATAGAGAGACAGAGATACAGAGAAAAGAGAGAGAAAGAGGGAGAGAGAGATTCTCGAATTATATATTTCCTATTTTCCTTAAAGTATTTTCAGATAACAGAAAAATGAAAATGGATAGAAAAAATTTATTCTTGTCTGGCAAAAATCTTTACCTTGTACTGGAAAACTTCACATGTGTGTAAGTGTGTGTGCACATATATATTATCATACAATAATAGACACACACACACACACACAGATGCACATATTTATAGATAGATAGATAGATAAATAGATAGATAGATAGATATGAATATTTTGACTTAGATAGATAGATAGATAGATAGATAGATAGATAGATAGATAGATAGATAATGAATAGATTGCCTGAGATAGATAGATAGATAGATAGATAGATAGATAGATAGATAGATAGATAGATAATAGATAATGAATAGATAGATAGATAGATAGATAGATAGATAGATAGATAGATAGATAGATAGATAGATAGATAGCATTTATGCATAAATCCTAGACGTCGGCGTGGTGAAAATGTCCATCATACACAAAGACATAAACCTAAAGTTGTCATATTTCGTTATATGTGTCTAATCGATTTATGTGTGCAAATTATTGTCCATAAAGGCGGGAAGAAAGCGGGAAAAATGATCGACTGGGAAGAACGTTGATAATGAAAGAGTACAAGTGCTGAATAGAAGAAGCCGGGGAAGGGAGAAAAGCCTGGATACCTGAGTAGCGAAATCGAAGGAAGGAAACAACGGTAAAGAAAATAGTGACGGAAAAGGAAAAAAAATAACGAAAAAAAAGTAAAACGAAATGCAACAAGTAATACAAATGAAAGGAAGAACGAAAGAAAATCGTTAAATTGAACTCATGCACTTATGAATGAAATATTAAGATACAAAATTATAAATTTAAACGCTAAATTGAAAGAAAGAAAAGAATGTAAAGAATAGAAAAAAAAGAGGAAGAATATGGAATAAGAAAGAAAAAAATAATGTGGAAAAAGAAAAAAAGAATTTGGAATAAAAAGAAAGAAAGAAAAAGGAATGTAGAATGAGAAAGAAAGAAAAAGGAATATAGAATAAGAAAGAAAGAAAGAAAGAAAGAAAGAAAGAAAGAAAGAAAGAAAGAAAGAAAGAATGCGGAAATAGAAAGAAAGAAGAATTTCGAATAAGAAAGAAAGAAAGAAAGAAAGAAAGAAAGAAAGAAAGAAAGAAAAAATAATGTAAAATACGAAAGAAAGAAAGAAAGAAAGAAAGAAAGAAAGAAAGAAAAAAGAATGTAAAATAAGAAAGAAAGAAAAACAAATGTAGAATAAACAAAAGTAAGAAAGAATGCGGAAATAGAAAGAAAGAAG